TTAAATTCCTTTCATATTCTACCCTCCGAGAGATACAACACTGAGGTAGCTCGATTTCCACCACAGCAGGGCTGCTAACAGCATCCACCAGCTGGCAAAACATTCAATGGCGCTTTCTTCAAAGTGTTGCTTGAAAGCAAGCTGATGGCATCTCTAGCATATGTCATTACCAAGTTGCCATCAAAACAAACGAAAGAATAGTAGAGGGATTAGTTGTTGCACTGGCAGAATCGAGTCCTTGGCCTTTTGCTTGAGAGTTGAGCTACTTAGCATTGCATGAAATTTCCTAATTTTGAAAATATTACGTTACCGTGTTAACTGCGTGCTCACTGTTGCTTCGTGTTGCCTGATTTACGGCAGTGCTATTTACAGCAGGTGTGCTCAGACCGTTGTCTGAAGCAAGCCGACATTTCAGCCTGTGTTCCACCTTTGTTTCTTTGCTGGAATTTTTCCACACCTTCGCGAAATCTTCGGCGGTTTGGCTATCGGTTTCGACGGCCATCAGCAGAAACTTCTCGCAACTGGCCCAATTTCGATACTCTACAAACATTTTCTAGGGCTTTTTGAAATACAGTTTTTCAGACCCGATAATAGATGTCATCTTTTGCTTAGCTGGAGCATTTTGGCCAGTCAAAATAACCCGGAAATGGAACAGTGGGGGGTTGAGAAGCCGGAGTGATGGTAACGTACGATTAGCTAAGTACAGTCAATCCTTTTACGTTCACTCGTTTCGGTGGTAGATTAATACTGGCATAAGTCAGGGAGTCAAATCCGCCATCAGCTTGTTTGTGTAAGCAGTTCTCGTGCTTGCCAACCTGTGATTGTTTTGGTATTTGCTACCACGCGAACTACTTCCTGAATGTCTTCATGTTTCATAAAGGGGATTTTGAATATCCAGAACGATGCATGGAAAATTTTTTTCTACCGAAAAACGCGACAGTATCACTCTGATGATTATTTTCAGTCTTCCGTCCGTTTTAACACTTTTAAGACCACTTTTATTCTCGCTCGGTCGTTTTGACGGTTTATACTGCAAAATGAACTATAGGTTTCATTTTGCTACCGGGTGTTGTTGAGCGATGTTTTGTATTAGGGAAATAAATTCAACCTCTTCCACCTCCGTAACTGGCCCA